ACACGGTAAAGCATTGAAAACATTTCATATGTTTCTTTTTTGGCTGAGGTCGCAGTGAGCTTTAACCGTTTTACTGTCAAAAAATCCACCCCGATCTTTTTAATAAGGTTTATCTAAATTTGCAAAGATTTTACGAAAAGAAAAGAAATCAACCCCCAATCAATGTCTTGCCTTATTGTAACCGTTATTTTTACTACACATCGATTTCTCCTGCTGTTAAGACACTTTAACCTTTATCAACCGAGAACGTGAAACCATAATTAGCAATTAACTAGACAGTTCGATAATGAACATCTCCAACTTACGTCTCATTACTGCACAATGCATGCTCCTGTTCGCTATAAGTAGACATAAAACAACCCAATCAAGATTATTTCACTAGTAGTTCATTAGGGAGCTGTGCTGACACGCTAGCAGCTTTTAAAATTGTTTGTGTCGTAGTTTCCTGAACTGCACTTGATGTATATTGTCCCTACCGTTGTAGACGTCCTACATTACTCTTTAGCTTAATGCCATGTAAATGTCCTTTAGTCCGTATTCGCTTTCGCAATTTATTGGAGACGGCAACGCAATTCTTCCACTTGATAAATAAAATAGGAGTGCACGATTGACACGATCGTTTTTCTTTAGGAGGATTGTTAGCACAACTTAGCAAAGAAGGAGAGCTAGTGCGTGTACTGTCTTAGAAAATCAATGGATAAACTGTTGATATGTCACACTGAGGCGTGACGTGCGTGTAACGATGCTCTTCTAGGGAACTCATAAAGGACATGCCACGTATCACTTACGGATATATCCCCATTGAATCGTTTTGCAAGGAGTGTAGCGTTTTCATCGAAGAGCCAATAATTTTTTTGCACTAATCGCCTGTCTACATTGATTTCAACACTAAAAGACACCTCGGTAAGCTTAATTTATCGCTTCGTTAAAAAAGGAAATGTAATAATTTCAGTTTTTGTTTGCGCATTGGGTATGCAATATTCCATAATAAATCAAAGATTGAACGTACGAACTCCGTTTTTTTATTAGAAACTGATTTATGGCCACGGATGTAGGTCAATTTGCACATTTCGAAGCTTTTAATAAAGCACAAGTATAAAAAGTTCCCACATTTCAATCCTGCCTATGCCAATGTTTTAGATGAAATGTTACTTCGCGCAGTAAATTCAAAGAAGAATAATTTTGCACCAGCTTTACACCGCCATTGCTTAATCGTAATCAAAATTAGCTCATATGATACCCTTATATAATTCGTTATTTCTTTACACCATCTAAACATTGCATTTCCTGTCATCACTAGAAGCCAAAGATTTCCAGCAGGGAAATGCGGCGAAAATCAAATTTATATGATCTGCTTACTGGAAAATAAACTGAAATTTACGATTTCATAAATTAGCGCAACCTACTAAAGTTAGTTTTAGTTGGTAACCATTAATTTTTTTTTCTTTCCCGAGACCGAGGTCAAAATCAAATAGCAGTAAACTGTGTAATGTTTTTAATAACTTTGCGTTTAGCGATTTAGCTAAAATTTTGCAAACCACAGTTTGTCCTTAACCCAAGTTTACTCCAAACTAATCGAACTTTTCCTCCAACTCTTCTTCCCAAATTTCTTACAGGTTTGTCAAATTTTCGTTTTCCTCTCAAATACCTTTCAAGTTTTCTTCAAATTTCTTTCACGTTCACTATGCGATTTCTTTTTCAATTTCTCTGTCATCCCTATGAAATTCTGACGAAGTTCATCGGAGGTTAGACAAGGCTTCTTAAAGTGTTTCTCAATTTCTTCTCAAGTGTCTCTCATTCTGTTCAACTTATCTTCAATTTCTTCTTACCGTCAAGTTCCCGAATAGTTTTCCTCTAGTCCTTTCAAGTTCTCTTTTTCTAAACGCCTCTTTTACGTTCGTATGAAGTTCCAAAGTTACTGTTAGGGTCTCATATTACGTTTAATCCCTTTCGACCTTCTCATCAAGTTGCACTCCAGTGCCATTATTAGTATCACATTTCTCTCAATATTCCATAAAGTCCTCATAAAATGCATTGTTCCTCTCAGTTCATCCTCAGTAGTTCTTCGGGTTCCACCAACATTTTTAAGGTCCTCTCAAATTCTTCCAAGTTTCCCTCGTATCTTGAACTATATTGCTGTGTGCAAATGGTATGTGGTCAACTATCTCACCCACGCGTCCAAACAGCTTAAAATAGAAAGACTTTAAGAAATTTCTAATTCCTCCTCATACATATCAGGCATCTGCTACAAAGAAAAATCCCAATATTGATTGAAGTTAATAATTTGGAAGACTCAATCGCCTCGATCAAGTTTCGAAATGCCAAATAATTTACTAAGCAAATTTTTACCAACTCCTGAAATAAATCTTGGATACGAAAAATCTGACGTAAAGACTCTATACGGGTCGCACAACAGATTCAACTTAACACACAATTAATTGATTGACAATAAATTTATTCCGACACAATTAGAAAATTAAAGCAAAATCCCCGAAAGAAAGAGTAGTTTGCCAAGCTTGTTTGGACAAATTACCCCGCACACAGGCGCCCGAAAAAAAAGGAAATCTTAAAATTATTTACAGTATTTCTCCTCTTTTAATAATCCTAATAATCTGATCGTTTAACGGTTTGCGACAAACAAGGCGCCCTTAACACCACACAAACACGGACAGCTTCTGAACTTCACTTTTCTTAGGACACAAATCTTCATGATAAACGAACTGGCCTATTGAATACGATTACAGAAACTATCGGTGGCGTGGGCGGTGGGAAAGGTATAACTCAGGATCTGAACATAAGGCATCATGGTGCACTAAAACTGTTTCTAAAAAAAACACTTTAAACTCCGCACACGACTTTGTTTACTTGCTTTTGTACAAAATTATCATAATAAATACAAAATGCGTCTTCAATAAATCAAACAGGGTAAACTACCCGCGTAAAAATAGCGTAAAGAGACGTACACTCTTTTCCAACCGTCGCGTCGGCGTCGCGAGACAGCTAACCGCAGCCTCTCGCTTACAGTATTTACCGAAACACCACTTCCATAATAAAATAAACCTCTTTCTTGCGGTTTTTAACAAATAACACACGTGCATTATCTTATCTGCGCCAAATGTGAATTTTCGTTGAAATTATTTATCTTTTCCGTGATATCAAAAGTTCTGCTTATTGCTAACACAATAACATTTTATAAAATAGACAAAATTTGACTAGATGTTCTTACATTTTTACACGCAATTTTACATTTTACAATTAAATACACAAATCTAAATAAACAATTTACACAAGCGATAAAGTTAAACAACCAACATTACGCAATTACAAACAATTCTAAAATGGAAAATCAAATTCAAATGAAATAAACCATTTCTGTGCTTATTCGTAAATACTCTCGTATACAGGGTATCCCGTCATTATTTTTTGTCTTTAGAACAAAATAACTTCAGAACTGTTTACACAACATTTCCCCCATTGAATTGAACACAAAATAAAAATTAAACAAAACAAATCTTTGAAATTATGGTTGTTTCACTCCCTTCAAATATGTCGGGATTAGCCTTCAACATCCGGACATGATGTATCATCCCTAAACTTTGTTCTAACCTTTGTCCTTTCTCCATTATCTAAACTTAGCCAGGATCTTTCTGGAAAAATCACAAACATTAAGTAGACTCGTAGTTACTGAAATGAATTTACTCTTTCCATCTTTAATTAAATCACTCAAATAATTACAATTTATAATTCTTCTCTTAATAGACCTAATTCACCTTGATTTCTAAAATTTTTATCCCTTCCAAAGGTGCATAAAATGACCTTTATTCTACTTTACTTTTACTCCTAAATCCCTTTTACAATAGAAATTCTCCCTTATTCATTTACCTAACAGATAATATTTTCCTCCTAGCTCCTTCCCTGATAAAACATTCGCGATTACATTGTTTTTTCCCTTTGCGTACTTGAGTTCAAACGAATACTCTTGTAAAATTACAGCCCAACAACAAATCCTGTTACTCGCAACGCGCGTTGTCATTGAATACGTCAAATACCGAGAATCATTCAGAATTAGATACTCAACCCCTTTCTCTACTTAACCCCATGTATCTTCTTTCTCCTATACTCCACCTTGAATCTCTTGTTGATAATCTTCAACTTCTACTTCGTCTTGATTCGGTTTCTCTTCTATAAAATTTACACTTTCGTCCTCGTCCTGGTTCAGTTCATTCTGTTTTTCTTGACTCGTACCTTCTACGCTATCAACCTTATTAGTTTCATTTCTTCTTTCCGTCTTGGCATCAGTCTCATCAGAATTTTTTTGTATCCTCAGTGGTTGAATTTACTTCCATAATCTCTCTTTTTTTTTACTGTACTCCCATTTCGTTCTTCAGATACGTTTTCCATTGCTCCATTTTCATCTATTGTTTCCTCCCTTATATCATTTGTTTCTTCATTTACACCATTCGATTCTTTACCCTTTTCATTTTATTCTTTGATCGCATCGGGATCGATTTTACTTTCTTGACTGCATTTATATTAACTCTACAAGCGAAGCGAGATACCCTTCCTGTAAGGTCATCAACTCCATTGTAGACACTTCTCCGTTTTCTTCAACAGAACCGGGCATTATCTCCTTGCCAACTTCGGTTGGTACTTCGATTCCACTTTCGAGCTTTGAATCCATCTCTTCTTAATTTCACTAACTTTAAAAGTGCTTCTTTCTATTTAAAACCCTACTTACCCCTACCCACCCTTTAATTATTCCTGCAAGAAACCCTCGCCAAATAATTGTTTGGGTACCATAATAATGTTACAGTACAACCCTAGGTACAACCTAGTTTGCCTAATCTGAATTTAATTAAGCAAAATTGACGCGTTTTCCTGATTTGCCTCGCGTTTCGGGCGCCAAATAAATGATACTCTAGCCCCACGTTGGCCGCCAAATAAATAATGCTGTGGGCTTTTGTGCAATGATATGTGGTCAACAACACCACTCATAAAACTACGAAGCTTTGGAAAGGACATATACAAAGATTTTTTATAACTCCCAGTTGTAACTGGGAATTAGCACTAATTCCCAGTTGTAACTGTAAATTAGCACTAATTCCCAGTTGTAACTGGGAATTAGTATAATTTACACTTACAACTGGGAATTATAAAAAATCTTCCACACATTTATAAATCCCAGTTGTAACTGGGAATTAAGAAAAGGTAGGTAGTAGAGACACAACAATTTCGTTGGTTCGGTTCGGGCCGATCGTCGCGAGTTGAGGTCATGATCACCTAATAAAAATAACATGATTTTGTTTTATGGTGGTTTCTAGATAACCACTGGTGTTTTGTATAACATTTGCGGAAGTGTGAGTATTGTTGTTGATACTTATGTCTTGATGTACTTTTTTTAGATGGAGGGTGTGTCCGATTTATACTCTTATATTACAGTTTATTTTTTAATGGGTCTCAAGCAGTCGGAGATCCTGGCATTTTTAGCAGATAAGCACAACATTTTTATAAGTGAACGTCACCTAAGAAGAAAGCTGCATCAACTCAAGCTGTATAGAAGGAAATATTACACGAATGTTGATGAAGTGATAGCATACATTACGGAAAATGTCAGAAATCACGGGCAACTCCACGGGTATCGTTGGATGCATCTGAAGTGCATACAAAATGGTTTTGTCGTATCTCAAGAAGTAGTACGTTCAATCTTACACATTGTTGATCCAGACGGAATAGAAATACGTAGAAGAAGAAGACTACGTCGAAGACAATATAAAAACAAAGGTCCTAACTTTTTATGGCACATTGATTGCTACGATAAATTGAAACCTTTTGGTATATGTGTTAGCGGTTGTATTGATGGGTTTTCACGTAAAATAGTATGGCTCAAAGCTGGAAGAAATAGCAATGATCCTCGTATTATATGTGGTTATTATATACAAATTATTAAAGACCTCGGAGGATGTCCTCAAACTGTTCGTGCAGATCTTGGTACCGAAAATGGGATCGTACGTCAAGTTCAAGTCCATCTGAGAGAATTGGGGGAGAATCACACCCATTATAGCTTACCACCGTTTCTATATGGTACAAGTCCAAATAATCAAAGAATCGAGGCCTGGTGGTCTATATTAAGGAAACATCACTCACAATATTGGCTTAATTTATTTCATAAATTGAAAGATGATGGTTTATATTCAGGAAACTTCTTAGATAAATCCCTCATTCAATTCTGCTTTATGAGTATTATCCAGGTAGGATTTTCAGTAGTGGTCATGTGTTAATATTAATTATTTATGATTACAGAAAGAATTGGATACTGTAGCAATGGAATGGGATTTACATCAAATATCCAGGTCCAGAAATGCAGTTTCACCCATAGGAAAACCTTTTATAATGTATAACATCCCCGAGGTATATGGAACCAAGGATTACTTATGTAATTTGAGTAGTGCAGATATAGGTGATTATGAAGAACAGTGTTTGTTTCATAACTGTCCATGTGATGATGATTTTTATGAACTGTGTGTCATAATAATGAGTGAAAATGGATATGTTATGCCTAAAACTTCAACAGATGCAGTTGATTTATATTTAAATTTAAGGCACCAATTACTACCATATTTTGCCACTTAATGCATTTAGAGAAAATTCTTGCGTTATCATTTTTAGAAAATTTTATCACTACCACATGATTTATGTCTTCTTTGCATTGTAGAGTTTAAGCATCGGTAGAAATTGGCGTTGAAGCATCATTGTTGCATTGTAGCACATTGCATGTAAAAATACTTTTTATAAGTAAACCTTTTTGTATATGCGCAAATAAAGACTATTATTTTTATTTGGAATTCCAATTATTTCAGTATCCAACCCATGTGGCCAAAACCATCATTAGTTAATTTATATTATGTATATTTAATTGATGCCAGTGAACACCATATTTCGCCAATTTTATGTTAAATTTAACCAAGTTTTTGTAAGAGTAGTGGAGGCACTACACCTACCACATCAACTTCATTTATGATGTGCACTGAAATAGTAATTATAAAGCAAGATAGAGAAGACGTTTTTCTATGCCAAGCAGTATTATTTCCAGAGACGCGCCGCGTTGAGGAATATAAGTGAGGAGGCTTAGGAAAATCCTCTACCCGTGGTTTATATTATATTAAGGACCCTTTATGGTTTTGTAGCGTTACCCGCCTGTGTGCACGATAACTCTTTTAAAAATGCACCAATATTTATGAAATAATGTGAGCCTGTAATTGACTTCGGCTGTTGGCCACTTACCACCGAACATATAAATAAATAAATAAATTGGTTCCTTAAACATTCAGACAGTTTGCTATTGATTTGTAGCACGGGTCAAAAGTTGCGAGGGTTTATATGCAGCGAGAACGTAAAAATAATACATTTAACTAACCTATCGACTTCGGACTTTCCCTATGTGACAACTTACATGCATCAGGTTTCCCCTTGTCGAAAAAGGCTTTGCCACCCCCCTACTTTTGTGACCAGCGATGTTAAAGTCTATTTGTGCACTAATTCCTTCGGGAAAACGACTGAACCCTTTGTTTCAATGTCCAATAAGTAAATTTGATGACATTCTTGGCACCACTTCAAAATTTCACCCTTAAGGTTATTTATGCAACAATTTCTTCGGAAAAAAGACCAAACGCTTTGTCTCGATGTCTAATAAGTGAATTTGATGAAATTTTTGGCACTACTTCACAATAATTTGACTCTTCAGAGTGAAAATCTTTATTTATGCACGAATTTCTTTCGGAAAAAGACCAAACGCTTTGTTTTGATGTCCAATAAGTGAATTTGTTGACATTTTTGGCACCACTTTACAATTTGGTCCTTAGAATTCATAGAACACCGTGTGTGTGTCTGTCAATACATATACATATTAAACAGAAAATGACAAACAAAGCAATACATGTATAAAACAAAAAATGTAGTCTCATAGTTTGTAATAATACAAAATAATTCAAAATGTTATACATTTTATATTACAAGTAGTAAGGTAGTAAACTACTATGTTACAACTACTGAAAATATAATCAAAATAGTTATTTTAAGAACTTAATTACCCCTACAAACTCATGCAAAACCAAAACCCACTGCATTGCCAATACCAAAATCCATGTCCAACTTGAAATCATCATAATTATTATGACATACTGGTAATTTCAATTCTATACTGCAGGTGTTTGCTTTTGGAAATTTACATGCTGGTTCGTCATGTAAAAATATTATTTTGGGGCTGATTTGGAAACCCAGAGGAGGTATGGAATCTAAACCAGTCGCAAACGCCAAAATTTCGTTTAAAGAAATCAATTCTGAATCTAAAATATGTTAAATTAGCTTTAATTAAAAACTATATAGTTGAGTACGTACCCTCGCAATCTATGATATAATCTCTAAAGTAGGTAATGACACGATTCTCAATATGTCTTCTATTTGATCCAGCTTCACTCCATTCTGGGAGTAGAAGATTTTCTAAACGCTCTGCAGTTAGAGATGGTTTACTGCACATAATATCTTTGAACAAGTTCGGATATTGGCGAATATGTTCTAGTATGTTGCAAGTTTTTAGACCATTTAGAAGCTGTCCCAACGCTTCATGAATAACATTGACGGCATAAAATTTTAAAGTTCCTAAAAATTGACTTGTTAGATTTTAGTTTCACACTGCATTTTAAGTATAATAGAAATAATAATATTGCCTAGATTTTGCAAAAGTTGTAATCATCACTTAAAAATAAAAAAATAAAAGATACATACAACATACCATTTATGATGTCCAATTTGTCCTCGGCTTTCTTTACAAACTTAAAGCCAGCAATAGAAAACACATTGCTAGATAGTACGACATCTTGCATGACACTCAGCTCTGTCGCATCTTTGAGCTGAGCAAGTTCAACTTGAATTTCTGGAATTACATCCTCTAAAGTCGGCTGCACTTTTATGTTAGCAATAAGACCAAATAATGTATCACAAAAGAACCTAGGACCTGGTCCACCATGTACTAGAGACAAACTTATCAACCTTCCAACCTCAAAATACTCGTTTTTGTTCAGATGTTTGTCAGATAGACACAAGTGCTTTTGTGTCCTACCTGTAAACATTGAACTATTTTGTACTTCTTGCAAAGCTATTCGAAACATTTCTCTGGTAGGGCCACCCTCATCTATAGCACCTTCTGCAATTCCTTCAACATCAGCAAATTTCACAGAAAATTTATTAAATTCAGAGAATCTTGGTCTTCGTACTGATCGCACAAAACCTTGAAACACCTGTTCACGACAAACATTTACCTTGTTGATAACAGAACTGTTTATTAGTTTATTTATTTTCATTAACAATTCTTCAATATCTGTTGGATCCTCGTAATCTACTTCCATGAATTTATTTCTATTTGCTACTTCGTTATCTGCTGTTGAAGTAGAATTTTTGTCGCAACTGTCCAAAATAGAATTTACTAACACAGTCAACTCATTTGTGTCAGGTAAACTGCAATGACTTTGCAATACTGTACTAGATTGTGTGTTTTCTGAAAATGTTACATTTGTTCCCAATTTACTTATGTAATTTTTCTATTATCTACCTAATGGAAGATCTGGACTTAAACGATCAGAAAACATTATCCATTCATCCTAAAACAAAAAAACGGTAGTTAACTACTTATTACCTTCATGGTTGTATAATTATTCATTAGCAAAATTTTCAACTGGTATGAATGTTCATTGCTTGATCATTTAACAAATGGTATTTGTTGACAAGCAAGTGATTTTGTCAAAACAAATATCATGAGTAAAATTTTCAAGCAGCAACAAACAATAAATCCAAGAGACAATTATGCGTCAAAACTTTCTCTCAAATGTTATTTGACAAGACTATTTGAATTATCTGTCAAAATTTGATATTTTTCCTAAGGCGTTGCAAAATTACTAAGTTGACGGAGTAAACCAGTTATTGTACCCTTTCTTTACTTACTTTGTTTACTTCTTGTAAACACGGTTGCCAAATCCATCTGCTATTGAATTTAATTATCATTTTTATAGTCCATGCTTTCATTGTTTGGTAAAGCAGGGATATTAAAGATTAATTTTATAATACATAATTAAATTTTTTTGCATGATGATACAGTGCGTTTCATTTTAGATGTAGACACCTAAATAACTTTTGTATTTTCAAAGCAATCAGTATAAAATTTTTACTGGTTATGTAGAGCTGCGTTCGGTTTTATGCTCTGGAGCGCTCCCAGAGCTTGGTTGCCATGGTATTCATTATTGCCAATAATTGTAATCATGACAACCAAGCTCCGAGACCCCTCCAGAGCACCAAACCGAACGCAGCTTTAGGACGTTAAGATGCATCTTTATTAAGAATACAAAATATCGTTAAAGTGAAAGACGTAGCCAACTGCAATCAGATAAAAGTAGGATTTCAGGTAAAGTAGGTAACAGTAGCGATTAATATAGAGAAAAAAGATATTAAGAAAAAGGAAAAAAAGGAAAAAGGAAAAATCCTGCATGCAAAACTTTTCTGAAAAATTCGAATTTTTTATTTTTTTAAATTTTTTACGAATTGCCATACAATAAAACTACTCAACGTTTTGTGAAGCGCAAAAATTTGATTAAAGAGAAATGTAGCAATACCTATTAAGAAAGTTTTCATATCGTAACTTTCGATTAAGTCATCCAAATCGAATAATTTCTACCTTTTTAGGAACAGCAAACACTGTCACTCAAGTTCACTGCTCTATGCAATGACATTTCTATGCTTCAGTTGTTTACTTCACGGCACTCTTAGTGAACTTTGTAAAAAGTGTTGAGAAAATGTAAAAAAGTTAAAAATTTGAATTTTTCAGCGAAATTTCTTATGTGAGATATTTTCATCTTTTGCAACAACTTTTGTTAATACTTTTTTTGCTGTATCTTAATCGCTACTACAACTTTATCTGAAAACTTTAAAATTCCGCAGTTGGCTAGGTTTTGGACTTTAAAATTTTTTTAATTTACTTAATTTATAAGGAATGAATTGAAAATTGTCCATTATAATAATTTATAAGGATTAAGATTTTTTCTTATCACGAAGAAAATGAAAAAAAACTGCATTGTTTTATAACGATGATCACCCGCATAATAAGCAACGAACGACATAATGTATAAACATGTGGTAATAAAATAAGAATATAAACTTACTTCTGCATTTGGAGCTAGAAATTCAGTGTTAGAAGCATGAGTTGGCGACGACACCGCTACATCGTCGTCTGATTCTAAAAAATAACAAAGGTAACACGTATGCAATAAACATGAAGCACATTCAGAAATAGAACTTGATTAACTCATTAAATACACAATGTTCACAAAACCGATAAAAACAAGAAAAAGTGAAGGTTTTGAAATTTCACAATATTATGATTTGCTCAAATTAACTGGCATACCACTCACTTCCCCAATGCAAATATTAAAAATAAACAATATTAACATTAGGTGACAACATTAATCACAAATAAAACTTTATCACAAAGATTTTTTTAGAGAAATACTAGATACAATAATTACTTACAACACTAGCAATAAAACAATAAAATGAGTTGCAAGTTATGGAACCTAATTAGGTTTGGCAAATCAAAATCACATGCCCTCAAAAATACATATAGTATGTTAAATGAAAGTTTGTGTTAACTTGTAACAGTTTCCTTCCTAAAAACTTCCTTGTATTTTAAGCTTACCTACTGTTATTGGCAATGAAGAAGACGGTATATTATTGTTAGTCGAACTACACCAAATTTTGGAACTGGTGCTTGCCAAATAAAACCTTAATTTACTT